TCAGCGGTTAGGTTATCTATAACTTTTGGTACTTATATTTTATGAAAATAACACCTAAATGGATCTAAGAAGAGATTCGTAAAAAGGATTTAGATTAAATAAGCAGATTCGAAACTAGATTCAGATTTTGATAAAATGCTATCAACCCCCGACCAAATCCTTCTGCAAGCGTGTCTCCTGTCTGTAAAGAAATTTAAGCGGATTTAACAGATCAAATCAATAGGGAATTAAACCTGTTCAAACCTGAAATCACTTGGGTGGTGTTTCATATTTTATATATTCAGTATGTAGTAACAATACATCATATGAAAGAATTCCCTCCCTCATTGACACCTATCATGCAATGAATGGAAATGTCTTGAAAATTCACTCCTCTGAGAACCTCATTCACAGAGACTATTCTTTGAACAGTGCCACCCCCCTCTTTCTATTCAGTTGGAGTGAAAAGCAGCCTTATGCCAGGCCCTAGCTGTCCGCCTCGCCGCCTGCCTCCACCGCAGTAGACAAAACAAGCTGGAGGCAGGATTTGTTTAGACAGAGCTCACCTGGCGCACACAGACACAGAAACAGTGATCAGGCGAGCCCTGGGGAGGAGTAGAGGCAGCAAGGAGGTGGTTGGGGGGGAAAGAAGGCTGGGGAGCTGGGGAGCTGATGAGCGTGTGAGGTGGGGGGAAGGGAAGGGGCTGAGAGAGGAGAGCATGGGGTTCAGTGTGCTACCCTTATCCTGGGCCACTCGAACATCAGAGCAGATTAAGATTTTGAGGGGCCTCGAGTAGCGCTAAGTAATAGGTGGAGGGGTGTGTTTGTGTGTATGCGTGGGGGTAGGCGGTTAGGGGTAGCCTAATCCAGGACTTGCCCGTGGGGTAATAGTGTAGGTGGATTTGTGTGTCAGTGTGTGTGTTGACTGCAGTGTCAACCAGCTTAGAGCACTTGCCCATAGGGAAGCAATCAGCTGATCTGTCACCAAGGAAGGACAAGCTCTGAACTTTTTTACATTACTTTTACAAGCTAACAAGGCTAATAAACATATTTCATTGATACATTTGTGGGGCTACAATTAACAAGTATTTCATTATCGATTAATCTGATGACTATTTTTGCTACTTAAGGATTATTTATTGGTTACTTTTGGTCTATAAAAAGGTCAGAAAGGACATTTGAGAACCCAAAAGCATCAAATGTTTGCCATTTACCAGTATGCTTAATAAATTTCTTAAACAATAAATCTGTCATAAAAATAGTTGCCGTTTGATTTTCTTTTGAAGACTACTCGATTAATTGACTAATTGTTTGTTTCAATACTCATTCTACACATAACTTTAAGAGAACTACAGCCTCCTTATGTTTACAGCTTGGGTTTTCGTGGAACATAAATATGGCTGTAAAGTATTTGTGTCAAACGTCAAAACACAGAACACAGAAACAGAAACCACATTTAAACATTCAGTTATTCTGTTTCCTCCGTGCTTTTTCACTGTAGAATAAAGGAAAAGTGGAAGTACTACAGTGGTTTGTGAGGGCCAGCATAATTACGGTTAAGGTGATCATCATAATTGTTTTTACCCGTGATTTCATTCACCACGATTATCCATCTAGGTCTGGGAACAAATTTGGTTTACTTTACAGCCCTGCTGCGAAGTCATCAAAACATCTTCATTTTCCTCTGAAGTGAAATTAAAATTCATGACCTGTAAAATGTTGTTGTGTTGACTTTGTTTTCTTCCCTTATCAACCGTGGTCAGCATGTATGATGAGGTTCGACGGGGGGAACAAAGAACAAGATGGATGGTAACTCCCTTAACCACACACTCACAGTTACTATGGGTTGACCTCAGTTGACCCCTTGGCCCCTCAACAGCCTCACATCCCATTGACTGGGGTTAAATAGGGTTTGGCCCATGGGGTTTTATTACAGAGAAAGAGAGAAAAAGTTGCTTCACTGTAACCTTTTAGCAGTAAACAATGCAGCGATTCTAAAATGTTCTACAGTTTGAAAGAAACAAATACGCCCATGTTTTGTTTGCGTAAATATGAAGCAAGCCAAAAGACCCAGTTGTAGCAAATGCCTGATTCCTGTTATTGTTTCAGCCTTTTTCCAAACAGACCAGCATTCATCGCTTCCCTTTCCCTTCACAACTGTGTGTTCACAAAAATGATTATCTGTTTTCAGTTTTTGACGACAGATAACGGCCCCCAGCAGGAGATAACAGCCAGTACTTCAGTGCCTTCATACAGTAGCACTACCTCAGGTACCACACACATCTACCTAAAGGCACCATGATTTAAATGTAGGGCAACAACTACCAATTGTTTTCATTGTCTATTCATTTCTGATGAAGAATTTGGACAGAAAAGTGTCAGAAAATAGTGCAAAGACATCCTAAAAACCAAGGTGAAGACTTCAAATTGCTCCAATTGTTTGACCAAGACACCCCCCCCCAAAAAAAAAGAATATTCTCATAGCTCATAAAAATGATGTCAGATGATATCATCAAAAAGTTGCATTCTTATTTTCTTCACTTATAAATGAAGCAGCTCGTCGTTTAAGCTCCACGTTTAAGATACCGTCCAGTGTTTGTGGTGCATTGTGGTCTGTACTTGCACAAAAAAGAAGCATGACATACATTTCTGCTAATGGATGGTTTGCTGCTAGCTGTCTGATGAGGAACAGTTACATAACAAGCTGAGAGCTCGCCACATGATTAAAACCTGAGCAAATACATAAAAAAGACAACTAAGATTGTTTGTTTGGTTCTATCATTTTCTGGTTTATGAAATAAACAACACCGTATTGATAACTTGTAAAAGAAAGAGCATTAATTAGCCAGCTTGCAACGTCTGTTAGCCTGGGGGCTCTTAAGTGTTGCACAGCTCGCTCCATACCTCTAATTAGCCGTTCAGGCGGCTGTATAATAGAAGATGATAACAGGGGGAGAGACTGCATTAAATTACCCACCAACATACTGTAGTTTGTTTCCATTTCTGCAGTGGGCTCAAAGCCATGATGAAATTTGAACCGGCCATTACTCTAGTTGTCGACAAACGATGCAAATGCAAGACACAGAGAAGCCGGAACTAAAAATAAAATAAAATAATCTTTTACCACCATAAACATTCCTTTGGAAATCAACAGTTGGCTCCTCTGGGTTTACTTGCCACAGAGACTGTGGGTCACTGATGCAACCAGATTTTTTCCACCAACGCCGATCCAACCACATGACAGATGTTAGATCTGAAACCTGGCACTCCTGTCACCCTGCACCCTGGCAGCACCTGTCAATCAAAGTGCTCCTCTCAGTCTCCAGGGAGCCTCCAGCTGGTCAAGAATGTGAGGACTGAAGGATTTCTTTGTCCCTGAGGTATTCTGAGGCTGTCCCCTTTTTCTCATTTCATTCACAGCTCAGCATTTCTGTAAAAGCATGTTGCAGAGACCCTGACGGGCCAACAAAATTGCATCTGGGGACTCACCCAGCATCCGTTCATTTTCTATTGAAAAGAAAAACTAACCTCAGGTCCACATAAAGAAAAGGAAGATCCCAGAATGACAGCAGAGTTCCCTCCCCACCCCCCTAAGGAGCAAAGTTATCAATGAGCCACTGAAAAGTCCTGAGGTAAACTCTCAGAACAGGAAAATGCTGCACTAAAGCTGAGATTTCAGCAAATTAACTCATGCCAATGACATAGTATTTGCATAATCGTGCCTAAGCCGGGGGTATTGGTAAACCTGCTCCAAGCAGCGGAAATCTGGAATCAGCTGGTCTTACAGTTTCCCCTTCTTGCTTAATTAACCACCATTAGAGCCACTCAATCATAGGATTTATGACAAAACCAACAACCACTGACACATGCGTGGCAATTAAAGAAACGTACCCTTGTTAACAGCCCTCACTACACTATGATCTTTAGCAGCTCATTAGGCAACAACATGGACGCAATCATACACTGAGGGCATGTTACATACATCTGCTCTTTAGCACCTTTTCCCCACAGTGTTAGTCTGCTCGTTTCCAGCCATTAGACCCATTAGAGGCCAATTAACACCGACACAAAGCTCCCTTCCTGTTTTATGGCACTGTAAACAAAACCTGCAGGCTCGCCTTTAGGTTCAGCAGAGCTCAATAGCCTATAATGCAACACAGGATAACTCATTAGTTTAATGATAAGTTGCCTTTTCATAGCAGATATCAAAGCCTACAGATTCTGTCACACCGGATTGCACATAAACTTTTGCCAGGCCCTCATATGAGCACTTGAATTGACTTTACCTTTCTGTTTATGAAGCACATAATCATATAAAACTGCTCTGAAGTCGGCATTTGCTTTCTTCTCTCAGCTATAAATCTGTAGCCAAGGACAGCACTTGGTCCAGACAATTGTTCCCATCTAGTAACACATTAACCACACTATTCCATTTATCTTAACTGCATCAGTGGGGATATGTGTTGCAGATACACGCTGTACTGATAAAACCAACCCTTAATCCCTACAGCCAATATGGCTTTAGTAAAAAAAAAAAAAAAAAAGGAGAACCTGTTATTCGAAGTGCCTTATGTGGGTCATTCTTCACAAACTGTGTCAGAATTGGCCAGAAGACAAGCACAATGCGGGTCTTTTTCCGCGTGTTTAAGTTGTGTCCCACTCGGTTTATGAAGCAAACATTTTAAGTCTGCATGCTGCAGCACGCCAGAGGCACGGGTCGTCAGGAGAGGAGAGGTTGATGCGACACTTACAAAATCACCTCTCATAGTTGTTTTTGGGAGTCGTCCCAACAGTTTAAAGCACGCGTAATGAGTCATCCTAGTTAGATTCATCACCCCCCCCTGCCTGCAGATTGTGTACTTCTCAAGCGTAAAATGGAGTGAAGCCTTGAAAGCGCAGACAACAACACACACACACACACACACAGAATAAAACAAGTGCTGGTCATCTGAACACACTTGGAAAACAATGTCACATTACTTTTGTCTTCTAGGCACAAACACAACATAACAACTCCCAACCTGAAAAGTCTGAAGAGCCCTTGGTGAGGTCGCAGAGGACGGTCAGACACGTTATTCCCAACAGGAGCGCACAAGTGACGGCTGAGAGAGTCCCATCTGAGAAGAACATCCTTGAAGCCTCAAAGTTTTTGAGTTTCTCCGTAGCATCAGAAAGTCCAGCAGCAGCATTGGGGTTCAAGTTCTGCGTCGCATGCAGGAGATGTACGGTCCCATGTCTCTAGTCTTCCCTCATCCTCCCACCGCACCGCTGTGAGACCGGGATCGAGGCTCCTCTGGTGCTCTGCTCTCTGAGTGCATTTCTAACTGCGTGTTGTGTTGTGGAGGCAGCCCACCTGGAGGACCGCCGCTCCCCTGCATGGTCTCAAAGACCCAGATTTCCCTACCAGACACACGCAATAATCCAATATCATCTCACTCTGTCGACCTATGGGCTGATTTTGATACTTTATGTACATTTTGTTTTCAATATTAAAAATAAAATAAAATATGGATGCAGGATTTTCTTACTTGTAATGGAGTTTACAGTGTACAGGAACATTTAGTGAAGAAGGGGATCCCAATACTTCTTTCTTAATGGAATAAAGGTCTCTAAAAAGCCATAAATGCAAACAAAACAACAACAAGTAATTTTAAAGTCGGCTCTTTCTGTGTTGTTGATAACATATAGTCTACATTATAAATGCAATCATAAAAACACAATATCTCTGAATGATATAAGGTAGGTATTTTGGTATGGATTTAGCTACTGATAAAAATACGGGAGATGACTCTCATTAACAAAAAAACCATAGCCTACAACAGAAGCACTTTCAATAGATTAGATTAGATTAGATTAGATTAGATGTTCTTTATTGTCCCCGTAGCGAAATTCATTTTTCTCAGGTCAGTAACACGCCAACAGACAAACAACAATAAATACATTTAAATTAAAATAAATAGACACATACTTCTAAAATACAATATCATCATCATCACCATCACCCTTATTAGATACCATCAATATAAACTCAATGAACTACCTAAAAGCAGTATCTCTGTTGATCATAGAGGCAGCTTCGCAATGGCTGCCATCTCAATAAGTTTTAAATAAATAATTAAATTTAATTAGATTTGTATTATAATATTTAGTTATTTCTAGTTTACAGCACAGTCGTGGAGGATACGGTGAATATATGTATAACCGACGGAACAATTGCGCCATCTTGTGGACAACAGACCACATTGCAGATTGGGACACCACGCATTTCAATGTCATTTTCCCCACACGGCTTCCGTAAAAGTTCGCGTGTGACAACAGAAGGTCAGTCATGGCAGCCTGTGCGAAGCAGTTCGGCAAATGTATGTTTTCCCTGAGGTTACTGCGAAACCTCCAGCTCCAAAATGAACGTAAGTGAACCGAACAAGCTCTCCTTTCTCCGGTGTACTTTCCAACCCGCTGCTGAACCAACGTAACGTAACGTACATCCAGTAGCAGCGAGCTAACGTAGCTAACGGAAGTTAGCCAGCAGCTTTTCCAACCTAATATCACCCAGACTTTATCTTTTAACTGTACAAATATGTATGTCTGAATTATTTGTTGTTTCCAGGGTGCCTATCCACGTCTGTGTGTCGTCTGGCCGAGGGGAGCAGCAGCGAGCAGCCACCAAAATTCACCCCTCCATCTAAACCTGTCATTGTAGATAAAACAGCGACTGTAGAGTCCCAGCGAGAGTAAGTCTCTGTTCATCACAGTATACATACTATAATGTTTACACAGTGTGTAAAGGTTGGTTTTAATGTGTTGTCTCTCCCTGTCAGGTTTCTGAGCCCAGAGTTCATCCCTCCCAGACAGAGAACTAATCCGTTTAAATTTTACATTGAGAGGAAAGACATGATTCGCAGGAGGCAAGTGCTCAACATCCCTGAATTCTACGTAGGTAAGAAACCACACACTCACTGTGAGGTGAGAGAGTTTCAGACTATCGTCCTCAAACCTGGAGAATTTACCCTTTTTTTATATATAGTTCATCCAAGTTAAATTAAGTGCAACAAGCTTCATCCGTTTCATTTCTGACACTATAACTACTTGTGCCAGCTCTCAGCTTCAAGAGGAGAGGCTGGATTTACCCTGATCCATGCTACTATAAACTGGTTGCATGTCAATTGTAGAATAGATATTAAGATCTTACCTTCATTGTCTGTGATTAGTTTATTCTCCGTGATCCAGACTGCAGCCGGCGCTCCTCTGGCGGGGTATTTTTCCTTTAGCAGTTCCTACATCTCACCTTGTCAAAAACAGTGACTGGATCCTTTGCTGTCTTGGCCCCTTTTAGGCCTTTTCCACCGACCAAGGTTCAAGCACCTAGTTTTAGATTTTGACTAAAAATAAATTTGTTTGGAACCTTTAAAAGTCGGTTCCCAGCTGGAACCAAAAAAGTAGTAGGTTTTCCTTGGGAACCAACGGCCACAGTTGACGCATCCAATTAATCGGGTTCCACTCAGAACAGGTGGGAACTTACTGTCTCTGGATCTCAGACATGTAAAGCATTGTCGCCTTTTAAATCCCTCTTCAAAACCAGTTTTTATCTCCAAGCATTCTGTTGTTTATATTAACAGTTGATTTAAGTCATTTTATTGTTTTTTTTTTCCTTTGGAAATTGCAGAGAACTTTGCAAATATAAATTGCATTTTTAAAAATATCATGCATCAAGTTTGTTGTTTGTATTATAAGTTAAAAGTTTTGATTGTTTTTCAGGGAGCATCCTGGCAGTGACCATGGCCGACCCGAATGCCAGTGGGAAAACTAACCGCTTTGTTGGCATCTGTATCCAGAGGGGTGGGAAAGGGCTGGGAGCCACATTTGTATTGAGGAACATCATTAATAACCAAGGTGAGGTTTATTTTATTTTCTGTGTCAGTGCTGGTTTGCAAACAGGTCTGCTGAAGGTCACACAGGCTGTGGCATCAAGGAATATTAAGTCAAGTTACATTTTATTTAATCACAGTTTGCCTCAGGGGGCTTTACAGTCTGTACAACATTCAACACCCTCTATGGGTTTTTTTTTTTTTTCAACCTGGACCTTATTATTCCACGTTTTGTGTCACAGTGACTAAGTTTTTAATTTGGTCCAGTATTGAGTGAGAGCGCTGCAACTGGGAAACTACAACGTAATCGTAATGGGAAATCATTCACCATCGAAGTACATCCAAGTGCTTGTATTTGCTACTGACCACCTGAGATTGTTACTGAAGTGTCTGACAATACGACCCAACAGAGAAATTAAACGTTTGCTGTTCCTTTCGCTTGATCTGCTGCGTGTCTCACCAAGTCTCGCTCAAAGAGACGTCTCGTTCAGGGAGGTGAGGGGACTTGTTGCAAGAAGACGATGGAAACATGTGAGTAGTAAGCATATCTTAGTGTTAGGTAAAATACTTTCAGTGTATACGGAGTATACAGATGAAGAGCTCCTACAAGAGCAGACCAGGAGACAGAGAGGGACAACAGGCAGAGGAGGATGAACCAGCTGCTGCAAGGCTGCGGAGCACGGGAGACTGGTGGAGTTTCTGCGGGTACTGTGACTCTATGCCCACAGAGGAGATTTTAAAGATCAGCTCCAGCAAAATGTACAGAAAACACAGACAATTGAATTTCTCTACAGGGTTGTATTGTCAGTCCTTTATAATAACAATCTGAGCCTGTCAGTAGCAAGATAAGCACTTTTATTACTCGCAAGGATTACATTGTAGTCCATATTGCAGCTGCAAAACTTGTTGTCCCCATTTTGACACAAAATAATTGTTAAAAGGTCCATGTTGAAAAACACCATGTTCTTATGTATTATTGTAACTGTTAAAATTATTTTTCTTTGGCCATTTATAATTTGGTTGAGGAATTAGGAAATACTTGCTCCTTTACTCTCCCAAGAAAGTGAAGGTGGTTCATTCATGTATTTCTTGGTGTGTGTGCCTCAGGTGTGGAGATCTGCTACGAGCTGTACAGCCCTCGTATCCACAGTGTTGAGATACTAAAGCTGGAAAAGAGGCTGGACGATAACCTGATGTACCTGAGAGACGCTTTGCCTGAGTACAGCACTGTGGACCCGGACATGAAGCCTGTGCCCTTCACCACCACTGGAGAGGTGCCTGTCAATAAGGTGAGAGAGCTTAAAGACGGAAACCTATTTATAACAAGGAGGTGGATTACATGGGGCTTTTCCAAACTCACCTGTTTTACTTACTAGGCATGAGACAATATGAACATTTCACGCCACAATTTTCCTGCCCAAAATAATTGTAATTCACAATATTTAAAACATCTTAAAATGACTTTAACACACTGTAATCACTTTACCTTACATCTGGTTAACGCATATTTCTATTGCAGATAGGACACGTCCGATAGGCACCTCCCTGTTGTTCTTTAGTTTGTAATACATAGTATTTCTACTAATTCGATTGAATTCTTTTTTTTGTGTGGGATACAATTGGCCTGCATTTGTGGTGATATTAAAATTTCAAATGATGATAATTTCTGTCTGTTCACCAGCTGAAGGTAAAGATGCGTCCAAAGCCGTGGTCCAAACGCTGGGAGCGACCCAAGTTCAACATCCAAGGCATACGCTTTGACCTGTCTCTGACTCCAGAGCAAATGGAGCACGCCCAGAAGTGGGCGCAGCCTTGGCTGGAGTTCGACATGCTGAAGGAGTACGACACCTCTAAACTGGAGAAGGAGATTCTCAATGAGGTCAAGGAGATGGGCAAATGAGGACAATGCCTTCTAAAACATTCTTCAGTTTTTACCATCAACACAGACTTTTTTTAGGAATGGGAAAAGCCTGGACTATGAGGTTTGCTTGGATGTGGAACGCTCTGCTGGACTGTGATCAGTTTTAAGGTTTGTCCAGATGGCTCACTTCTGTAATACCATTTTATATAAGGAGGAGCCAATATGGAAACTGGTGTTGTACTGGTGAGGAATCATGCTGCTTTCTTTTTGTCTTGTTAGTCTGCAGTATATGAGTTTTCAACATCACTGGCGTTATGACTTTTAGCACTCTGCAGATCCATTAAGTGGCTTCAATAATAAAAGATGTTAAACCTTCCAAGCTTTTGAATTACAGTTTGTTCTTGCAAGAAACGTACAAGTTAGTATTTCTGTTGTGACTGTTGTTAGGATTTTATTTGCTTTTAGGCATGCCAGTTTATTGCTATGGAGTAACAGAGTCTTGACACTAGGTGGCACAATTTCTCTATATATGTCCTCATCAGCAGTTGCATAAGAAAAGCCTTTGTTGTGTCCTACAGTGTTTTCGAGGGAAACTCCTGCCATGC